GCCTGATGTTCATTTAGAGACAAATGGTTCTGCACAGCTGTGATTGTGAAGACATATCTATTTTATTGTCTTGGAAATATACACCTTCACATTTTCAACATGTCCAAGCACTATCAGCTTCAGAATCTAGAAACAGAACAGCAGACTGTAAACAGAAAATAAATCTAGGGTACATTAACTTGGGCTTTGTAAATTAAAAGTTAACTGCTCAATAAGATCCTGTATACTACAGATACATGGAGAAAATGGTGATGGCATGAAGGAGCATCAGGAGATAGCAAATAAGGACAGAGCTCTGTATAACTAAGGTCAGACTTTCCAAGCTCTCTCGGTTGAAGTTTCCTTTTTTCACTCAGCAGTTTCACATGTGTATATTACCTGTGCAATTGTGCACAGTTCGGCATGACCATGTCTGAATCCATTCCCATTCAACTCAAGCACAAACCCTGTGGAGACTATGCATTCTACCATGAATTTCGCACAAATCTCTCTATATAAGCAATTGTACACTCATACAAAAGGAGGCTTTTAATATCCTATGCTAGACTGCTCTTAAAATCTCATGGGTGTATGATATGGACACATTTTATGACCCTTTAACTAATTATTGTGCCATGGCTGCCCTTTGTGTTTTTTACCCCTGTTGACCCCCACCTATACTTCTACACCTCTCTTCACATGACTTCAGACTGAATGCAAGTTTCCTTTCATACCCATTTTCATTTAACTCTGATCTGTCCCCTTTTTGAAATTCTGAGCTGTTTTTCATAAAAATCTTATCTACAATCAAAGTTCTGATCCTTTTTAATGCACAGGGATATGGCCTTATCTCATGCTATCATTAAAAACTGAAAGCTCTTTTATACAAGTATATTTTTGACCTCTGCTCTTCTCTGTTTGGAACAAAACCTGCAGCAGCATGGCCAAGAATAGAAGCAGCATCACTCAGCTCCCCATTTTATACCTTAACCACTAGATAATGCTTCCTGTGAGCATATAAAATTTCATAAAAATGCAAAACTCTCACTATGTTTGCTTCTGCTTGTGATGTGTTAATATTATTTTTTACATCCTGCCTTTCCTTGACCTCCCTTGTCCTCCTGGGCTTAGCAGATTTTCAAGGTCCATTACGACAGTGAAAGAACATTTTTGATGCTACTTGTCACTCAGCCAATTTTGTGAAAAGTTCCCATTGAACCACTGAGGACAGTTATTGCACCATAGCTAGCCCTGTTTGAACAGAGGACTCTCATGACTTTGTGTGAACAAAACTTCTGATAAAGCAGATATTTTAGAAACAAGCAGAAACCTTTCGAGGATATCATCATCAGTCAGGCATTTGCATTACCCAAGAATTTAACGCTCTCAATACATGAAGAAATGTCCAAAAATCCTTTTTTGCAGCCACAGGCATAAACCAGAATCTATCCTATTTAAACCAAGGGCATTACATTCACATAAAATAGCATAAAGACAGAGTCAGTCCCAACCAATCACTATTCAAGTAACATAAAAACAAACACTGATGGTCTGTAGATAAAATTACCAGGTGAAGTGGATAAAGAATTGTTGTTGCTATATTGTGCTCTGCCAAGAAATTAAGACTTCTGAGTAGAAGTGAATAAAAGGGTCAAGAAAAGAGGCTATATCGCACATCGATCTAACGCAAAAGCTTTTAAAAGTAAAACTATGACTTAGTCATGACTGTATATCATGGAATTGTTTTCTGAGCACGGGAGGATGGTAAAAGAAACATACTATTTTCTTCAAAAGCTTAGGTTCTATTTAAAAAATCTTGTCAGCCAGAAATGTGGAAGAATGTTTCAGTAGAAACAACTGTAATAATGGCCATTAACTTCTGGAAAATAAAGCGTTAGAGAAAATGTGTTTAACCAGCAGTATGATCACATGTTCATGTCATTTTGATCATGAATAAGATTAGGCTGTTAAACTCCAGTTTTACATAGTACTTCAGCACACAGCTTTTCAATGAGCTGGTAAACAGACACAGTGGGTTAAGTACTGGCTGCATTTAGAGCTGGTAAAAATTGAAATTTCTGTTCTGCAGAAAATCCTGCCATTTCAAAATCTGATTATGCTCTAAATCAGAAAGAATGCCAGTATTTCAGAATTTCCCACTAAATGAGTATCTTAAAGGAAACAGATTTGGAAATCTTAAATTAAGAGCATTTTGATAATGACAAATCAATTTATTTTTATATGTTTGAATGGTTTTACTCTGACACAGTAAGAAGCCTTACATCAATTGTATCTAAACGCTATCTAAAACACTTTATATTACATTTCAGGTCAATGTAGTAATATAGTTAACATTAATATACAATGTAAAAGTGAGGGCAAAAGAAAGAACTGGCATTACTAAAATGGAAGGTTTTTACAAAACTCATATAACACTTTAACAGTTCTGCGTGGAAATCTGCACCACACTTGTAATAAAATCATAAAAGGTTTGCTCTCCTTCATTCACTGGTTTAAAAAAAAAAAATAATAATAATACCACAAAACAAACCTCCCCCACTCCTGCTACTCCAGTGAAATTAGTTCTGGCCTCGCTGAATTCAGTGGGAGTTTGGCATTGACCTCAATGGAGTCAGGAATTTATCCAGTGATTTCAAAAGGACTACTTATACACTTAAATACATGCATACATAAGTACTTTATTGATTCGGATCCTTAACAATAAAACTTCAAGGAAAATGACCTAATCTCCATCACAGGTCAGAGCATAGTGCAGCCCTGGCTCTCAAACAAGCAAAAGCAATCTCTGGTCAGATTTTGGGACCATTTCCCATGAAGGTACATCATCTCAGACAACACCAAAAATACACTATTTCACAATCAGTATGACCAAACTACCAATTCAAAAGTATCTTCAAACACAGGAAAACAGTGATACTCTACTTTTACCATATATTAAAAATAATATAATCACCAGTACTGCAAGTGGTGCATACCTAACATCTGCATGCTCATAAATAAAGTATTGATTTCTAGGATTAAGGAGAGATCGCTCTCAATAGATAAAATAATAAAATTAAATCAGGTGGTTGCATAAATGAAAAAGAGAGAGAGAGTCCACTTGTGGGCAAACATGCCTCAGGCACCATCTATTATGTGCACATCTTCCCACAGGGCAGAATGCTATCGTCTAGCATTATCAAGAGGATCCACGTATTTCTCAGGAAGCTAGTACAAACATTCCCAACAAATCATGATGCTAAATATATGTTTCTCTGTCAGGAAGGCATTGCCTTTTTCCTTGGTGATGCCTGGGAGAGAACATTTCTTTTTATGTGAGAAGGAAAACAAAAGGAGTCAATTCTTGTCTTCTCTCCTCCCTAATCCCTAGAGCGTGGGGTTTATACAGATTTGAAAATCCTTGTCATGGCTCTTTGTCATGAAACAGGCAGGGCTTCATGGCCCAAATATGGGCTGCTTTGCCCATCTACACTGCCCTCTGCTTTTCAGATGACATCTTGGAGGCTAAAGTTCTTTTGGATGTCCACTGGTGTGGACATAAAAATAAAGCTAAAAATCTTCAGATCATTTAAGGCCAATATAGTCTAAAGTAACACCTTCAGTGCTGCAAACGATAAAAGATTAACAACCACCTCCACCTACCTTCAAACCCAAAAGCTAGGGCACAAGAAAAAAGCATCTTATTTTTAAACAATAGAGAAGTATATTTTAAGAGAATGTAGGAAATGATATTTTGGGCATGAATCATACAACGCAAATGACTGCAAAATGGCATTGAAATTTTCAGAATGATCACTTAAGAGCTGCTTTGTTTTCTTTAAATGAATGTTTATTTTTGGTACATTAACAGAGTATTTTTGGTATCAGTAGGTGGAATGTACTTTCTAATCTCAACTTTATATGAGTATTAGCCAGAGCTTTGCAGCCACTTTCCAAACATATCATTGTACTTGATACTGCAGTATAACCTTGCTTAGTCTCCAAAATAAATTTGCAAAGGGAGTGGAATACTCTAGGGATTACTAATGGGATGTGGAGCTTTTTTTTTCATCTTGATGTCATTATTTGAAATTGGCAAAGTTAAATTTGTTATTTTAAGTAACCAGGGACACCAAATGGAATTAGAACGCTACTTCTTAGGCAAAGAAATATAGCAAGACATATAGCCCTCTCGTAAAGCAGACCATCCACGCAGGCAGGGCCTAGGAAAGAAGCTCTGTCACCCCTATTATGACTGCCCCAAGGTCATACAATGAGTGACTTGCCCACGTTCACAGAGCAAATTAACAGAAATGGAAACTGAGCAGAGATCTCCCCAGTGCAGTCATCTTAACCACAAGTCCCAGCCCTCACTATGGAAGGACTTGCACTGACTCCACTGGATTTACAATTGAACCATGACAGTCACACACAAGACTAAACAGATAAGGAGCAGGTAAGCATCCACTGAGATGCTATTCTAAGGTTAACTGCCCATGTTCACAGATGTGTCATAACATTTTAACACTAAGGTAGCTCCACTGAAGTTCTCTAACCCCCTTTTAAGTATTGCTGGGTACGGTTAGAGAAATGACCATATTTTTAAACGTACAAAGAAAGACGAAATACTTAGATCTATTAAAGAGACTTAATGATATATTTATTAATTATCTCTATGGACAGCAAAAGCAAATAAGGCATTCAGTAGCAGTAAGGGTTAATGGTCTGACAGAATTTGCAATAGAGTTTCACTGGAAACTAGTGGAGAGTGACAAGTCAACAGCATTACCATAAGCATAAAACTACAGTAACTTCAAGGATGAATCCAGATGAGTTAAGGTTCAGAAAAGATACAGCACCTGGGGGTTCCTTATAGCTTTTATTAAACCAGAATAAAAGCATTAAGCAAATAATTCTGTACCCCACTTTTTTTTTCTCTCTCTCTCTTTTTCTTTTTTCTTTCTTTTTTTTTTTTTTTTTTTTTAAAGAAGGGTATTCCTGGAGGTCTCCCAAGGTCCAGATCTATCACTGTATTTAATCACTTTTGGTGTCTTTCCTTCTTCTTCACCACAATTTTGCCTCAGCACTCCAGGGAATGGTGGTGTATTACAGATTCATCAATGATTTGCTGGTTACTCTACATTATCTCACAAGTGCTGAGGCAAACAGTTCTTTGCCAGAATCAAATGATGTTCTATATTTACCTGCAGTTTAAAATCTTGTTAATGTTGACACTTCCCATGAAAACTCCAACAATGAAGCTGGAATGAGTGGAACCTGCAGACTTTGGTGACTGCCAAATAAATAGGTATTCAGGGCAGAAAGTTTGTTCCATATGCTCTACATGACCACAGGGACATCATCAGCTTAGGCGACATCTTTTCCAGAAACAATGTCAAATAGAATACCAAATACACAAAACATACACAGTCTGTGGGCAATGCTGGTGGATGACAGGGTGACTGCCTGCTACTCTGTGTTGCTAAACCAGTGTTTGGAAAAGAACTTTGATCTAAATCCAAATAACTTTAATGGAAAGATTCCAAATTGCTTCAATGAACTTTGGATCAAAATCAGTAAGAAGTAATTAGGTCTTCATTCCAAAGGTGAGCTGTAGGAGCTATACATGGATTTCTGTTAGTTGTTTTTAGTACCAGATAATGATTTAGAGACTGACATCATTTTGAAAGAACTAAGTTGCAACTACAGTTGCAAGTATATAAAAAATTAATTTCAGATAATACAACAAGTAGAGAAATTTTAAACTCTAAATGTTGTCCGCTTCATAGGAATGAAGGAAATACGAACTACAGTTCAGTTACAACTGTAATTTAGTTCTGTGGTGTTTACTACACTCCACAGCCTTACCGAACCTTACATGCGTTTAACATGCCTATGACTAGCTTTATTGACTAGAGCTTCCAGTTCTGCCAGTAAAATCTAGGAGTGGAGCTAGACCTTTCAGTTCTTGCCTCGCTCCTACTTTCTAAATCTCCTGACACAGAAGGAGATCATACATTTGAAAACTTACCACACTAGAGAAGACACCTGAAGACAGACAATGATGATAGAGGTTTCTTATGTGGGAGTGATCACAGCAAATGGTTGAGCTGTGCTGGCACTTTCTAAGATTTATTTATTCTGGCAGCAGATCATTACCTGCAAATCAGATTAAGAAATGCTCAGAATCTGAGAGTCACCAATTAGACTGAGGTGAATTATATGAAGTGAGTCATTTATTTGATGATTTTCCCCCCTATTTTTTCTTCCTTATAAATTGTCTCAAGTAGACCATGAATTTTTTTTCTTTGGACTTTTTCCATTATTCCAAATAAAATTGCCAAATCATTTCTACATTCTTGGTCAGTAGCTTACATATTTTTTTAAAGGAAGCCCTCCAGAAAAATCACAGAAATACTTAAAGTTCAAAGTATAACAAATATATTATACTCAAATTGTATTTATAACATACAAGACAGCACATAGAGATGTAATTCTTCTCTAAGAATTGATTGACAACAAAATGATTTAACTTGGAGTGTAGACTTCAAAAAAATGATCTAAAATCTGCCCTTGGATATTAGAGCCCAATTCTTTCTGACGCTATTAAGATGTCAGGTCCTATTCTGGCAGAACTTGGACCCATATCTGTGCTCCTGAGCCTTGACAACCTTATAGGAGAAGATGATAGCCTGCCTGAGATCACAGGCAGGAGATGAAGGGAAAGACATAGCTCATACCCTTGGATAGCATCTGAAAAGGCAGAGAGCAAACAGCTCTTCCTGTGGGCAGGGATTACTCCCACCCCTTTTCCTGATAGGGACTTATGCCCCTGAAATACAGGTGGGAGGTTGGTTGTTCCCCTCTCCTCCACCTGCACTCACCAAAGGGATGAGGGGTTCTCATGAATGAGCTCAAATGAATTCTGGCACAGTGATTTTTAATAGGATGCCCGTACCTGCCCCTTTGCCAGCACCCACGTCAGCTGAAACATGCACCTGCTGCTTACCCATAGGCCAACATCGTAAAGCAGACAAAACACCAGGGTACAGCTGGGACACACTCTGCCACCTCTGTGGCTACAGCATTGATTTCCAGCAAAGGGCAGGGCAGCAAGGCTTAAATTGTCACAGTGTGACTCACCAAAGGTCAATCAATGGAAGCCACGGTGGGTGTAGGTGTGGGTACACTACCCGTTTGCTGCATGTGTGTGGACATGAAACACTGGCTAACCGTTTGGTCTGAACATTTGGTTTGCAGTGCTGGCTTGTGGTTAACGGTTTCCTGCAAGGCTGGATGTTAACTGCAGAGCAGAGCTGTGCCATACCCTGTACAAGTGTGAGTTTTAGAAGCACTGATCACTGTCCATTTGAGCTGAAGCCAGTGAGGATGTGTGTGAACAGCCTTTTTGAAAATCAGTTTCCTCAACAGCCTTGCAGTTATATTGAATAACAGTTACTCAGATTTCTAATTAATATACAGCCTCTATAAAAGATTTCAGGTTAATAAAAAGAAAAGTTGGAAGAGCCTAGATTTATTAAATACCTGTGCCAGCACCAGCCTAAAGGTTCAATTATGATGTATAAGTATCTTTGCAACTTGTGTTGAAAATACTGGAACTGGCACTAATTTATTCCCAGTCAATGAGGACAATCCATAATGCAGAAGTTTTCAACAAGCTGCTGTCCAACAGTTTTGATATGTCTGCAGAGGCTTACGCTTCTTCTAAGCTTAATGACTCTCCAAAGAGAGGGAGGCATAAAGATTTAGCGACTCAGTAAAGATGACTAATACAGACTTCTGTGGCCAGCTTGGAAACAGCAAGCAATTTCTTGATAGAGAAGCTTTATTTTTTGTATTTTTTATGCTGATGAAGTAAAGACAAAGCATTGATTAAGCCATCCAAGCGGAGAATATTCTATCCAAATTGGAGAGCTTTCAGTCAGGTGGCTGGATTTTAGACTTTGAAATACACTTTGTGCTTGTTGTTTGATGCTTAAAGATACCTGTGCTAGAGCCACAGACAGTAATTGACATCAAGTTGATACTACAGTTCACAGCTGGATTTCAGTTGTATGGGCCATGCTACATGCATAACACTTGTGTAATAATGCTTTTTGTATCAAATGCTATGAACTAAGAGAAAGGATTAATAGAGCCACCAATAAAAAAATTATTTGTACAGATTCAGTATCGGTTAGGAATACCAATAGCCCCAACATGCTTTCAACTCTGTTAACCCTCTCTTTCTCCTGTCAGATCCAGTCATTTGCATGCAAACTTCAGACTGCATGCAAACTTCAGACTGAACCTTTCTCAGGCATCGTTAGCTTTCTACATAGCTGAAATTCTAAACTTACTTCCTTTGAACTAATTCTACTGAAGTCAACATATTTATTCAATAGTAAATGAAAAACAGGTCTAGAGGTAATTAAGAATTATTTGTGTTTTTTCTTTCCAGAGGAGAATTCAATTTTCCAGGGGAGGTTTAGGTATAAGCTTTTGACCCTCACAGATATTAAAGTTGGAATGACTCATACTTTCATTCCCTTGTGAAGCTATATTTCTACACTGTACTTCCCTTGATTCATCAGAGAAGAGGCTGTGTCCATAGCCATAAAGCAGAAATAGTAGCACGTCATGGGAGATTAGGTCCAGACAGGGAAACGGGCCTCTAAAGACAGTAGGAGAAAGAAGCAACTAAATTATAAAACCAAGAAGGTACTATGGAGCCTTTTTTGAATTAAAAGTAATTTGATTTTGTTTAAAGTATTTGGGATTTGATATGTTTTTGTTTTTTATTAAAGTAAATCTGCAAAAAGAACATGCCTTTCACTACAAATCCCTAATGCACCAACAGAAAATTGCTGGAATGAAAAACTTTCACCTTAATCAGGTCAGTTTGTTTGGAGAGACTGCTGAGTAAATACCTATGCCATGTTATTTATATCGTAGCTCTTTCTCTGCAGCCAAGAAAAATCAACATAGACATATAAGCCAAGTCACAAATATGCATTATTTTTAAACAAATAACCATTAAGAGAAATGATATGTTTCTCAAAACTGGTAACCACTTACCAATTTACTTCAAACTAGTGACCTGTACACTTTGCACTTTTGAAAATCACCAGTTACTTTTCCCTCTCAGGATTTTAAAATCTATATCCATCACTCTAATAGGGTGTTAATAGAAGGTGTGTCCTTGAAGTGGTAAAATTGTTTTCCTGAGAAGTTTCATGTAGGTGTATAAAACCTAAGGTTTCTGAAAATCTTGCTCAGAAAGCCAGCACGTATTCTAGAAGGGGCAGTTCTCCATTACAGAGAGTTGTTTACCAGCCCTGTTTCCACATTCCTCCGCGTGTCTGATGGAAAAGATTTTTTCTAATTGTTTGAGTACTACCCTTTTCCCCTGACAAAAAGTAATCAGCTAGAACTAGAGAACAGAATAAAGATCCATGATAGGTATTTTAGAACAGAGTAGGAGAAAAAAAATCACTTCCAGTGGTAAAATGATTTGAATTTTTTTTTCCTGTTGAGATAAATTATTGAGCACAAGATTTGTTATGCGAGTAGCTGCAACATCGGTGCCAGTGGGAATCCTGCCGTAGCATTCTTTACAACACGGTGCTGGTACCTGAGAATTCTTCTGTAGGTATTCATAGCTTGAATACCATTTTGATCAGAATTTCTCTGAAATGCCTTAAAAACACTTCTGCGCACACTTCTATGAAATTTGTTGCTGTTTCTTTGGTAAATACACCAGGTAAATCTTTTCAAAAATGTCCCTGGTAGTTTTGCTGCCAGAGAGGGAAGTAACAGCTTTGTACGTACATGAGATGACAGTCTTTAAAAACAAAATTCTGCTTCCTTTTCTTTCATACAACCCTGGATGCTGCCTTGCTGTGAAGTTACACAGTGGCAAGTACTGAATCACATACAAATTCCTTATTAATCTCTCCTGAATCTTACTGACACACAGGAGTGGCATTCCAGCTAAGTAAATGGATGTATTTATACAAGGAAGAGATTTGGATTTTTTTTTTTCATCCCCACAAAAAAATGACACTATTCAAAATAACTAAGTCCAACAGATTTTTTTAAAATTTTTTTTCATTAGCTCATGATTTTTAAATATAATTCATGATTTATTTACAATGGAAAAAGGATTCCTAAGAAACCACAGGAGAGTCATAATTCAGGTCACATTTATGCAGATCACCAGCTAATCTGAAAATCTAGATGTCTTCAAGCCTTCTTAATATGTTCTCAGAAGTGTGTAATACTAGTTATGAGTAGGGTCAGTGTAGTACACAGAAGCTTTTCATATAGCTTTTCTGTATTGTTATCTACTTTTCTTTAGTCACTACATACCTACTGCTCAAAATTTAGAGATTAATAGCCAGACTAGGTTTTGATCCAACCATCCACTTATCTGAATTAATAGTTAACGTATATTACTCCACTAGATTGGCTAAAAATGCAATGCAACACCAATGGGGAACACATCACTCTTTCTTTCTACCAACTACTTTGTCCTATAGAGAAAGATTATTAAAGTAAGTGAAACAGCAGGAAAATAATGGAAAATTTGTCTCTCTTCATTCACAGAACCATACTGAAATTTTCTATTCCTGTTAATGACTGTAGTGGGTAGAACTAGGAAAAATCATCTTGCAATCGAGATCGAGGAGTCAAGGAGACAGAGTTCAGCTACGGGTCATGCCCTAGATGTGTGACTTTGTGGCTTGGGGCTTGTTTCCCCTGTTTCACAGGGACTGTAAAAATGCTTGTTTACTTTGGCCCTGAGTGTATTTCATCTATTTCAATTGCAAGCTCTTTGGAGCACAGTCTGCTGCTGACTATGCTTTTCCAGTGTTAATACAGCACAGCTATGATACATTTTTGGACCTGACAAAATCCAAGCAGTAAGTAGTTAGTGAGAATCTTTCTGCATATAATAAATTAGTTCCGTGAAAGTCCATTTTTTCTGAGCACACAGTACAGTTCTTGTACATTTGCAAATCACCGGAGTGGCAAAAGAAAAATCTAATAATACTATAAAAAGACAGAAATTAAACCTGAGTCAAGTGCCTAAAATCTATTAGAGAAATAGTAGATACGTGGACACACAAATCCCTGCACCCTTCACTGGAACCATT